ATATAATTGTAGTTTGTGTTGTACAATACACTTGTTCATACTGTACGAAACTTTTTGTCAAAGGTCGTACCGACGACCCTCGGGACGATCGAAATCCTTCTGATCGTACTGTACGATACCCATCGTACTGTATGATTTGACCGCCTTTTGACAATTCGACTTGTCAGAGAAATTATTACACATTGTACTATACGATACCAGATCGTACTGTAATATTTAGGAAAAAGTCTACAAATCAGCCCCAATTGCAGATCACTTCACTCACATTCACCTCCTCACCTTCACTCAGCCTTTACATAATGTCGAGCTCTAGCAAGCGCGGTCGTCTCGGTGTGGGAAGCTCCTCTTCCTCTCGCTGTCACAGTGCTCATTTCTTGAGTGCTGAAAATGAGGATGCGTACCACAAGTACAAAGCCTGCATGATTACATCGTCTAAAATGCTCAATTAGGCTGCTCTAAATTTTGAGGTACTGAACCTCTTCGCTTCCACCACTTTTCAGTTCCTTCTTACATTGGCTTTCCCTACAACTCCGAACTCCTATTAGAATTTCTAGCTAACCTTACCTACACCGTCGACAGCCTGACCTTCCACTCCTTTGTTTGTCGATAAAATGTATAAATTACCAAAGCTGACATCACCCAATATATTAGGCTATCCACTAAAGGGCCTAGAGTTCGTTCCTTTCTCACAAATGAATTTGACTGGACTGATGTCAATCGTGTCCTTAGAATTAAAGCCTTCTATCAACACTTTCCCCTCATCCAAACCCTCAATCGAAATGCCAGAATAATTCAACATCTACTTAGAACTTCTATAGTACCCAAAGCTGGCGATAGAATTTGCATGACCCCTAATTTATCTGTGACTACCTATCTTATCATGTCAAACACCAAATTTGATGAGACAGACTTGATAATCGACTACATTCGAAATATGATCATAATTTGCCTCCCTACAACTCGTATAAAACAAAACATAGCCCTTGGCTACATTATCAGGTACATTCTTCAAAATAAATATCAATTAACCTTTCCCGGTGAACCCGATAACATTCTTGTTTCTAACGGATGCTTCCTTCCGTATCTTGTTTCATCAGGGGCCAAAGCCGGATGAACCCGACTTTGATGAAGAAGAAGGATACACTGCCCCAGCAGCAGCTCCTGCTCGACCACGATGGCAAGCAGCATCCCGAGCTCCTGCGCTAGCCTACCCTCACGATGATTTGGTCGAACGCTTCGATCAACTGCAGACTCATCTTGACACACACATACAATAATAACATCAACAATACAATGACGACATGTAGTGGTTTGGGGAACGATTCGTTTCGATTGATCACCGGTTTGACACAATCCTTCAACATTTCCAACCACACCCACCTCCACCTCCAAGTGTTAAGGATCCTCCTTTTTGAAATGTATCTGTGTTGTACTTTCTTTTTTGTGTTGGTTGCTCCTCTTTTTGGTGATGTCAAAAGGGGAAGAAGTTTGTTGTAGTTTGCTTATGATTATGAAATACATTTCTTTTCTTTTCTTGTCTATTTCGTATTATTCTTTATTAAAAAAACCACAAAAAAATGCCATTCAAGCTTCCCTATAACAAACATTATTTGACATCATCAAAAAGGGGGAGATTGTTGCAATCCATGACCCCTAGTTTGAGCTTTTGATGATAACAAATAATGTCGTCTTAACTTCTATTCATTGAATATCCTTTCATTTCTGCTATTATTTTTTAGTACTAACATTTCAAGAAGATCACGATTTACTCAGGACAACAAGAAGACTCAAGACTGGGTAGAGTAAGAGTGTGAGTCTGAAACAATATAATTTTCTATTTTTTTCTCTTTTCTTAAGTCTGACCACAAACTGTATGTATGTCTGAGCAACCATGCACACAAATAGGGGGAGAGGGATTTTAAAAGGAAAAAAAATGATGAAGATTTTTCTCTGTTGATCGTACTGTACGACTTTATATCGTACTGTATGATTTGATGTTGTAAAATGATTTTCTGTAAATAGATCATACTATACGAACCATATCGTACGGTACGATATGTAATAAATCCAAAACCCTAGCCGCCATATTAGTTTAAGTAAGTTCTATTAGCCGTTCATACTGTACGAAGTAATTCGTACTGTACAATTTATTTTGAATACTTACTTAAATTAACCCGTGATTAGCGGAGTAAATCAAGGTTTAATCACTGATTAGTACTCGTACTGTACTAACATGTTCGTACTATACAATGAACAGAGACGAGTTTTGATCATCCCGGACTTCGTCCTAGACGATCTCTTATTTTTGCCTAATTATGTTGTACGATGTATATCGTACCATATGATGTACAGAGCCGAGTTTTGATCGTCCTGGACTTCGTCCTGTACGATGCCTTGATTCTGACTATTCATACTTTAAGAAGTAGGTCGTACCCTATGATGTATAGAGATGAGTTTTGATCGGCCCGACTATCATCCTATACGAACATAAGAGTTGATGATAGTATCGTACGATTGTGAATCGTACCGTACGACTATATTTAGAAGTTTTTGAATTGTTCGTAAACCTTCATACCAGGACAAAGCCTGTTATACAAATCGTATTGTACGATGTGAAATCGTACTGTACGATGGTAACGACTACTTTGAAAATTTCAGGGATTTTGGAGCCCGTTTTAAGTATCAAAATAGTAATGTTTTTGAGAGAGACAAAAGAGGGAAACGTGATTAGAGAGAGAATCTTTTGGAGAGAGCTCTTGAGAAGTTTTTGGGGTTTGAGAGAGGAAGGAGAGGGTGAGCTTTGTGAGGGAGATCACACGGGTCCTCTGTTCTTGTTGCATCTTGCTCCTCCTGTGGCCTAAGAAGAACTTGTGGGAGGCTCTCTGAGTGGGAGACTCTTCTACATCCGTGACCTCGAAGGTACTCTGCCTTCTCCAGGAGGGAGAAAAATAAGAAGGTACACTACCATCGCCAGGAGGGTAACAAAAGCGCTTGGCACTCCGCCACGCCGGGTTGGTGAAAGTGAGTCTTGTGAGGGCTTCTCTGCCTTGCCGAGGGGGCAAAAGGTGAACTATAGTTTGTAGTGAAATTCCCGGAGTAGAGGACTCCGGGGAGTGGATGTAGGTCATGGTTTGACCGAACCACTATAAAATTCTGATGTGATTTTTCCTTATCGCGTTTTATTTTTGTTTGCACTTTATTTTCATTATATTTGCTTGGTGATAATTGTGAGAGAAAAAAAAATTATTGTTGCAATTTGATTTCAATTAATTGCTTCCGCATTATTTAAATTTTTCTTGTTAAAAATTTAAAAACACAAAAAATATTAGAACTCTTGCTTAGGTTTTTAATTATTGTAACAAATTTTTGCAACTTACCCCCCAAAGTAATTTTTTCCCCCCCCCCCCCCCCCCCCCCCCCCCGTCTTGCCAATCTAGTAATTTCACTTTAGTGGTATGAATGATGTAGGTCATGACAGTTTTGAGTCTTGAAACCAAAATTTTTGCAATAACTTTGTAAAAGATATTGCGAAGAGAAATTGGCATGAATGTTGACAACATCAACATGAGAAGTTTTTTTTTTTTTTTTTTTTTTTTTTTTTTTTTGAATAATGCAGAGCAATATTACTAATAGGAAAAGAGATTACAAACTAATAAAAGGATCATTTTCCTCCTCTAGCAAGCTAATAAAAGGAGGAGGAATAGAATCCCAATTACAATTATTCCAAACAAAATTACTACTATGAGCAATGTTAGCACACATATTAGCTAACTTATTGCAATATCTACTCAGTCTATTAAAAAACATATTCTTGAATTCTTTGAGGAAGTCAATCTCTTCCATTCCATCTGTAATCACCATCTTGGAAGGATCTTTATTAAGCTTATGAAGAAAATTAATGATATTTGCATTGTCATATTCTAACATCCAACCTTTTAAAATTACCTTTAACACCTGAATAGTCAATAATTCTAACCGAGCAACATCCCAATGCAATTCCTTGAAACCAAAAGCCAAAAGAAATCTTCCTTTAAAATCTCTAAATACTCCACCTACAGTAGCCTCATATGAAAGGATCAAAGAAGCATCCACATTAACTTTAAGCCAACCGGGTGGTGGAGGGTGCCAACTCTTAATCAACAGCTTATTAGGCTGATTAGCACCCCAGTAGCCCAATTTTAGGGCTCCTTTATCAACAAAAGAAGCAAGAGAAATAGCTTGAGCAGCTATGATCAAATGAGAGTCTTCCTTTACTCCAAGAGAAATAGTTTGAAGCATACATTGAAGGGGGTTGTGTATGGGAGATGGTGGCAGTGTTTTGGTGGAGGAATAGTATTTTGTGGAGGAGAGGAGGGTTCATGAAGTATTGATGTTGTTTACTTGTTTTTATTATGATTTTGAAAGAACATCTGCCAACAAATATTTTGTGACTTTTGAATGAATCATATGATTCCTTTTTAATTTGTTGCAGAGGAGATCATGAGCTTTTTGCCGTCTGCATCGTTGGCGCCGAACATAACTGATTCAACAGAACTGGATGAGTCTCAAGATTGAATTTATGCTTTCGGGAGGGCAGGCCTCGAGTCGACAATAATGTTATTTCTGGAATATTTGGTGAGCTAAAAATATTTAATTAATTACTAGTTTATTGTCATACATATGTTACAAAATTTTGATATTTAAAGAATTTTATTTCATCTCAATATATATAAGAATATTATTGTAATTTATTCACATACACTACAACACAACACAACAGCTCGATAGTTATACTAAAATAAAATATAATGATTTTTATACAGCAACATTCTATAATAACTTCACAATCTATTTTATTAATAGCTACAGCCATCCCAAATGTACCCTGAATTTTTTCATTTATAAAGAAAATTTCATTCATGCAAGCACACGGTGTCCACCGTCTAACTTCCAGCACTTCAATGCCGGTTCAAGCAATCCCTTCGAATACATAACCACCCTCAACATGTTATCTATTGCAATAAAAACAATCATAAACTTATAATTAAGAACTTGTCAAATGATTTCAAATGCTGATTAAATATCCGATCCCAAACCTTTATAACAGAAGTTTGATCGTCACTCAAGCAAACAAAAAACTAATCTCATTTCGTTAGAGGCAACTACAGAAGTTGAAACCTCCAAGACCACAATGCTAAATCTTCTGCTTTTCCCACTTAAAAAAATAATAATAATAACAAAATTTACAACAGCTCATCTTTAAAACGCCCTCACCTAAATAACTACATTCCTCCCTTTCAAGCTGTGTATCTAAGATCTCACAAGGGTAAACGATCTTAGAAGCTCCAAAGCCTCGGGAATTTCAGTAGCATTGCAGATAGCTCTTTGAAATCAATCAGCAGCAGATTCAGGCAATTCTTGAATGCTTTCAGCCACATAGTTCTTGGCTCCAGCACTCGTTACTAAGCTTGAATGGCTACCACTGACCAGCAATTCCTGATCGCCTATTTGCTTTGATGTGTTCAAAGCATGGCAGTGAGGACAATAGTAAGTTACATGTGGAAAATCCTCTTTCCTAGACAATCCTGCAGATTGTACACAAACCGTCAGATAGCAGGAAGCTATTTAGTAATTTTTTTTTTTTTTCTGCATACACTTAAGCTTCATTTGGACGGCTTTCTTTCTGCTTCTTAAAATAATTTTTTAGTATAAAAATTTTAATTTTTGTGCTAAAAAGTTGTTTCAAGAAGCGGAAAGAAAGCCGTCCCAAACGAAGCCTTAAACATCCACATTTTCTGAGAATTATGCCAGTATTTCCATGGCTGTAGTACAGTTCATGCAGATGAACCACTCATTAGCATGAATAAATGAGTGCTTGGAATAAAATAACTTACCATTATGTTTATGACAGTTACCACATATGAGAGCATAGCAATTTGATGGATCCTCGCCTACAAGCAATGCAGCTATCCGGCCTACCCACCCTCCATCAGTAGTGCCTGAACCTTTATAATGTTCGACAACCATCTGACCAGGAGCAGCAACATCATTGGAACTTTCAGGGAGCTGAGTTGTGCCCTTTTTGGCTGAAGAGTGTTTCCTTTGCCTGGAAACACCAGATTGCACCTGCTCAATACCACTGCTTTTGGTAGTGCTGGTTGTTTTGGTGGGATCATCCCCAATATGGACGTTCAAACCAGACTCTGCTCCTAGCCTAGATGCCAGAACAGTTGCCGCAGCAATCTGTGCAGCCGGATCTAGGTCATACCGCTGAAATTTAGAATCTTCAAGTTAATAGGATAATAGGAGACAGCTTTCAGAAAGGACAAAAAATGAAATTTATCTACAACAACAACAACATGAATCTTTTTTCTCCATTGTGTTCCGGTAAGAATCAAATTTTCATCTAAATTTAATAAAGAAATATCATTTCTAATATTTTCTATCAAAGTCTAATAAAAAATGAAATTATCTGCATACTAAAAAATTTGACCAAGTCAGAAATGAAAAATATAGCAACTTCGGACCATCTATCTACCTGGATAAGTTGCTGAGTGGTGTAATAGTTTGTCCTTTCCTTGAGCTCATCAATTTTTGCTTTCCTTTCAGCACGAAGCCTTTCTAGGGTATTTTGATCCTTGCGATCCACTACAGGAAGTGATAATATTAAAAAAAATAAAAAAACGAAGTGCTTTGCCGATCAGACGGTATCAAATCTAGTACTATGACAAATTAAAAATGCTTAAAAATACATCACATATTAGACGTATAAGTTGAAAACACGATTTTCATATTTAGGACCTTTTTTATCAACATAATTACACGAGGATAACATGATAGCACTATCACTAGAAAATATCAAAACTTTAGCTAAAAGCCTACATATAATACCATTCGTCTTCAACACGCCTATCAAGGATAAAAGAAAGAAAGAACTAGAAAGACAGCATGAATTTTAAGAAATCGTCCAAATTATTGTAGGTTCTTACTCCTAGCATTCATCAGTATACTCAATTGCAGAGTTCAAGCTTCTTCTTTTTTTTCTTTTTTCTTTTTTGAATAAAGGCTAAAAATACAAAAGAAAATTGATGTATGAGAAGAAAATAAAATATGATCTAATTTAAAGATGATGTCCAACAAAAAAGATGAAATGCTTTCTTCAGAAATTATTAAAGGGTTGTTTGGTTACATAGTATGAAGGATGCAAAGTAAAAGGAATACACTACAATAGTTTTAATTTTCTTGTGTTTGTATAAATAAAATTGATGCACAGCATTTCTGAGGAATTCAAAATCCCCAAATGCCTATTTTTTGGTGAATTCAAAATTTGCCTAAACCAAGAAAATTTCAAATACATTATGACTTGCAACCTCGAGCTACAGCCCTCTCAGACCAAGTCCTCAAGAACTTTGTTTAGCTTCCTCACCTCACTCTATGACCACAGCGAGTCAAAGGTTTAGACATGATTCAAGCTCTTCATCAACAATTGCTGCATCATTAGACACGCCTGAATCAATGATTGCTTCCATAGCACACATTCTCTAATGATTAAAGGTAAGCCTCGTTTCACCATTTTCAATCTCATTCTGTTGGGTTGGGCACGCAGCTTTTCCCGTAGGTTGCCACCATGGCTCCTCCTTACCTATAAGTTGAGTGGATCCTCCTTCAACAAATGGCACTCAACAATGAGAACCTATTCCATGTTTGCTGATCCTTCCCCTGTTTTCATGACCTCTTCCATTTGTTGCAACTCCTTCACCACCATTGTTCTAGCCATCATGTAGAATAAAAAGTATTCATTTCAAAATCATATTTTTTTGTTTGAAGGATACAGCTTTATCATATTTTAGTTCAGGTTTCAATTTCGCATTTTAGGTTACTGGAGCTGATAGAAAATGATGGGGAGGATGAGAATAACAAGATGGTTGATTGGATATCAATGCTTTCATCAAGAAAAACTTTCCTATGAGTCTCCAAAGTTCAATATTGTTGAATGCACATTGTTGTCATCATCAATGACCACGCCTTCATCACTCCAATCACGGATACCCACCCTGGACCTACCCATTACAAGAAAGAGAGTTTCTCATCATTTTATTTGAAAATGAATGCAAACAAAAACAATTTTGTTTCACTATATTTGACTTGCATTGAGCCAAATAACACATTGAAATTAAAATATTACTTTACTTTTAACTGGGGGATGATTAGTTTACAGAAAAAAGAGTGCAAAGAATTTCAAATACAGACATTTCAAAATTTTAGTATTTAGTTAGATGAAAAAGAAATTAAAAAAATAAGTTTTGGTGAGTTCATTTTTCACTACATAGTTCATTTTTTAGAGTATTCTAAACTCCCCCATTTTCAACCATATTCCAATTTACAAAACAAGTTGACTCTGTTGTCATTGCCTACGTCCCACCCCTGCCATTTCAGTCCATTGACCACAACCGCCTATCGACTAACGCCCACCATCTTCCACCACCACCACGAACCACTGACGACTGCCGTAGTTAGGCAATCATATTACTTCAGTCCAAAAATAACAATAATCACCTACAATTATTTTACACTCATCCAAACCAAGATCTAAAAAGTTAAATCTAGAATTGAGACGTTTTGCTTTAGTAAGCCAATGTGTAAGCCTCAAAATAAAAAAATATATATATAATAATTGAAAATTTAAAAATAACTCATAAATATGATAAAAAATGAAATAAATCATCAACATAATGACTTATTAGAAAGCAAGTATTATGATAACACAATTTTGAAATAAGATTTAAACTAAACACTAACTTAAAACTTAAATAAGCCCCAAGTATTAAGACCCAAGGCAGCAGCATCCTCTCTTTGTTATTTTTTAAGGAATCCTCATAGTTTGTGTCAAAGTCATCATCAAAATCTTCTACTATAATATTTTTTCCTATCCCCTATACCAATTAATATTGAGTTAGATATAATCTAAAATAAAAGAATAAATTAATAATACATAAAATAATTCATTATATTTAAAATTACCTTTAGATCAAACCCTACTTTTTTTTTACTAACTCGTGAAGTAGAAGCTGCTCTCAATTCAATATACCTTTTAATTTCAGCATTGATTTTTCCACTCTCATCATCATTATAAGTTCATCTTCAATTTCAATACCTTCATTACTTCTAGGTGTTACCCATTCATCAACAGATTGTAAGTCATCAACAACTAAGAAATATAATTCATCATCAATAGTTCTTTGATTCTATAATTTAAGATATCAAATCTTCAGTTTTTTACTAAATATAATATAAGCCAACTTGTTTGTGTCTTATAGCCAATCGATTCCTTCTTTTTGTATGAGCTTAATTGAAGATGTTCTGATTATGTTTTCATAATTTAAGGTGTCTATCATTCTTTTTTTTCTATTAGATATAATATAAATCAACTTGTTTATATATCATATGGACAATCGATTCCTTTTTTTATAAACATGGTTGAATGTGCTTCAATTATACTCAAATACAGAAGCTAAACAGGTTAAGCCAATAACTTTAACTGCAATTGTTTTAAATTCAAAACATCATCTCAAAATTAAGCCTACCAACATTATATACTGAAAAAAATAAATAAATTATTAACATATATTCAAACAGAAAGCTTAAACATAAACATTCAAATTTAAAATTATAAATAAATGCACATGTATTGGGAGACTGTCTTTTAATAAGCTTGAGCACTCTAAATCAAATATTTCATTCTTTAAATGAAAACCAATAAGTTGATCAATTATTTTATGGTAGTCATCTTCACGAACAAGCCAATCCATGCATGCATATAAACTACTTTTTATATCTTTATCTACATAGAAGTCATGATAATGAAATTGATAGTTTAATTAATATACAGCATCAAGAAAGTGTTGGTATAACTAATGATTCAACTATCCATCTATAATTTTTAAATTTTTTTAGAAGCACATTATTGTTCTTGCAAATCATTTCTTATGTCCTTTATAGTTTTATTCATAGCTTCATAAATAAATCTCGTTCCTGAGGTATTCTTAATTCTTAATACCTTAACAAAAAATAATGTAATCTTCAAAGTATAATTTATATTACGCTAGAAAGAATAACCTTTCATAACAATCTTTTTCACTTATTTCCCTTTCTATTTTTTTACCCAAGAACTTTTCTCTCAATCTTTACAGTCAAACATAACATTTAAGATTACCTTAACTTCTTCAATCTTTGCAAAATCAAATATGAAGTTATAAATCTACTGGTCATAGGCCAAATAATTTCTCTATCAATAAACTTTCTCATTAAACTAAATGCCTAATAGTGATTGACACTAAATTTGTTAATATTTTTTGCCTTTAACAAAATAGATTTGTGTTGAGGCAACTATCCCAACCTTTAAAACATTAAATCAATACAGTGAGCAACACATGTAGTCCAATAAAAATGCCTTATCTTCTCAATTAATAATCTTCATGCAATTTTATAAGCACTTGCATTATCTTTAACAACTTGAACAATCAATATATTTCCTACTTTCTCAACAAAATCATCTATCATTTGAAATAATAGTTCTGCATCATTCATAATTGTTGAAATATCAACAAATTTTAGAAATACAATAGCATAGAGAACATTAACAAAGAAGTTGATGATATTCCACTATCAAATATCTTACTATCCATCTGATATTATGGTCACTCATGTCTTCTTTCCTTCATCAACCATCATTATCGTTGTCTTAACCTCATCATCTAACATTCAGGCCCTCAACTCATACACTCTAATTCTTCACTTCATCAACCATCTGTATCATTGTCCTACCCTCATCTAACAACAACAACAACAATATCAACCCTTTATCCCATAATGTGGGGGCAACTATAAGAATCCTTTTTCTCCACTGTGTCATGTTAAGAGTCAAATTCTCATTTAAATCTAATAAAGAAATGTCATTTTTAATATTTGCTAATCAAGTCTTTTTAGGTCTACCACTACCTTTCTTAATATAATTCAAATCCAATGCATCTACTTTTCTAACTGAATCATCAGAAGGCCACTATTTTATGTGACCAAACCATCTAAGGTGACTCTCTCTAATTTTATTTTTTGTAGGAGCTACACCAACCTGTTTACGTATATACGCATTTCGAATTCTGTCTCTAAGAGTAAAGTCATTCACATGAGCATTCTCATCTCCGCAACACAACTTAATATTATGCTTATCAACACAACTTAATATTATGCTTATCTTTTAATTGCCAACATTTTGCACTATAAAGCATTGCAAGTCTCACCACCATCTTATAGAATTTTCCTAGAAGTTTGAGGGAGACTTTTCTATCACACAACAAGCTTGTTGCATTCCTCCACTTCAACCATCCAACTTAATTCTACTAATAACATCCCCATTTATTTCACCATCACTCTGAACAATAGATCCAAGATATCTAAAATGATTACTCTTATTAATGACTTGATCACCCAAAGTCACAATCCCCCATTAGATTTATTACTACTAAAATTACACTAGATATTTATTTTTAGATCTACTCAAACAAAAACCTTTAGGTTGACCTCCATAATTCTAGTTTTCCTTCAACTCTCTCTCTAGTACTATCAACAAGAAGAATATCATCAGCAAAAAG